CCCGGTGTATTAAGTAGAGTCAGTGGCACTCTGGCCGCTCGAGGCTTTAATATAGATTCTCTCGTTGTTGCACGTACAGAGGTTACTGACTTGAGTAGAATGACGATTGTCTTAAGAGGACAGGACAATTATATCGAGCAGGCCAGGAGGCAATTATTGGACCTGGTGAGTAGTATTTTTTTTTTTTTCAAATCGATTCTTAACTCTTGACACGCGATCTTTCATGTTTCTGATGATTATTAAACGTATTTTTATTTTTAGGTTCCGGTGTGGGCAGTTCTTGATTATACTCAAACTACCATCGTCGAACGTGAGATGCTGCTTGTAAAAGTGTCTATGTTGGGCCCTGAACATATACATGACCGTCCATCGGCACATATTGATGAAGAAGAATTCATGCCGGAGGCAGATCTGGGTGAGGAGGTAACGGAATAATAAGAAAAGCATGCGTATTTGTATGCTCATTGACGTATTATTAACCAAGTTTTGTAATAGAGTCCCGATGCAATATCTGTGCTCGATAATCCTATAATCATTGATGACCTAACACCATCAGCTGTTTTACGACAAAAACACGCACACCTTCGGTCACTTAGCAATCTTGCGGAATTATTTGGTGCCAAGCTCGTGGATATCTCTAGCGACCGTGTGATTGTTGAACTAACGGCCAAACCGAGACGAATAGATGCCTTTCTCGAGTTGGTCAGACCGTTCGGCATTTTGGAAACTGCAAGAAGCGGTGAGTGAAATCTTTCATGCGTTACATTCGCTCAGCTCAATTATCTTACTGGTCTTTCGTAGGGATGATGGCATTGCCAAGAACCCCAATTCATGATCGCGGAACTAAAGATGCTGATGCAGAGGACAGTCAAGATAACGAAGTGGATGCCACAATGCTTCCCCCTGGCTAACATAACACACTCTCGGATTGATACGATGAAGATTTAGCAAAGTGAGTATAAAAAGAAAAGAGCATTCAAAGAACATCATGCCTGTATTTATTCATTCGGGACACCGTCGAACTTTTGGAGATAATTAAAGTGTAGAACAAGGTTCCGTATATTTGTGTAAATAGAGTATTCGATACTAACGTATTGGGGGGTGTTTATTATGTATTCGTGTCGATTACAGTTATGCCCCGTCATACTGTCCCGACTTTAAACTAAAACAATTTACAAGTTTCTCTCCATTGCGAACACTTCGCAACAAAAAACGTGACATTGTCGAAAATTAATCTGCAATATCAGTTATTATTATGTATCAATAGCATTGAGATATCGACATACTTCTTCGTAATTAAATATCGCTTTGGTTTCACGTTCACGACTATTATTAACCCTCTGTCAATAATATGACCCTATTACAAAACAGTAAGTATTGCTTCGGGTTTTCCCTGTGTGAAGCGGAGCTTCGAGGCTTTGCCTCACAACGTCGAGCGTTTTTCGGCCTGTTTTTGCGAGCCATTCGGTTATAAATGGAAAACTAAATAATCAATCAATTTTTTTTGTGAATGTTAGTAACGAATAGATAATTTTTACAGGGGCAAGGATCGCCTAGATCTGTCTGTACATTTCAGGGTACGGCTATTAATAGTTAATAATAATAATATACTGTATTACTTCACGGATGGTTGATATAAGTGAATCCATAAATCTATAGTCGCAATTATTATTTGTTATAGTTATATGAACGCGTTATACTGGTAATTCATCACCTCGGTTTAGAACGAAATCTAAAGAACCGATACCATAATTCGCTGGCGATGAGTTTTTGATGTATAAAAATAGACGAAGTTTTATTGGGTAATAAAAATCATTATAAGTGGAGCCGGCGTGGCCAAAACGTTCACTTAATAAATCCAAATATGACTAACCGGTTTGTCAACCGCAAAATCAATAACCACACAAGATGCAACTTGATATTCCCGATATATTTTTATTTGCGATTTTCGTCGCTGTGTTTGTGGTCTCTCTGATTACTTATCAAAGCATACCGAAACTTGAAAAAGATATTTCAATATTAAAAAATAAAACCGTCCAGATGCATACTGAAACGGAATGGAGAAGTGAAGCCCAAAGTATTTCGTGAGAATGACACACGTGTTAAGACATGTAAGATTATATATTTATAAAACCTGAATTTTCTAACTAGTACTAGGGCAAGCACGTTACGGATCTGAATACTCTACCGAAACTGAAACTTTCTGGGTTGAATTTACAGTCCCCGGCGAAAATAATGGCGGTGACAATCGTTTTTAAAAATTCAATACAAAAATCGGTTATCTGCTATTATAGGGCCTTCTCAATAGCTTTGATGCCCCGATCAAATTTGGAAGTCGTACTCGCTTTCTAAATGGAGCAATACCATGTTTACCTTTATGCAGATAAACGTGATAAAATTCACAATTAAGCATACGCGCATAAATAGCGCCCTTCTGTATGAGACTGTTATCCTGATGATCAGCCGGAAAAGACTATTATTATTGCCTTCATAGTAACAGAAGTAATAAAATCTAAACAAAAATTTGATGCAATAATTGATATAGAATTAGCGTTTCTGTTTGATTCGATGTCAATGATTAAGTACACCTCATTTACTTCGGCCAAAAACAATGGCTCATTAAACAGACATATTTCCATATCTTAATGACGAGAGCGAGTATAATGATTTTAAATCTACGTTCAATCGACTGCTTAACAACATCCTAACTATTTATCCACACCCTTTTGACCCCAAACTCCTATTGAAATTCAAGTTGGCATTGTGATTCAATGATTAGCTAGGATATCGCCAACTAGAACAAATGTTTGGTGTTAGCCAAGGATTTTTTAGTCGCACATTTTACTAAACGATTTATTGAAGCCATTCTCGACACCCTCTAATATCATTATCATCGTTTGTATCAATCATAAAGGATCCGAGATTTTTTTGCTTCTTAGGCATTGCAATGAATATGAAAGAGATTTCTTGACTCAAGTTAATAAATAATGTATGTTCTATCCCATGTTCTGCTCTCGATGAGATGTCTGGCAAAGTTTGAATTATGTTCATATGAAAAATAAACAATTTTCATTTTAGGGATGCCCCACAAAATAACTTCCATTTTTATCATCGATTTCCAAATTTGATCGGGCATCAAGCTGTTGAGAAGGCCCATATAATATTAAAAATACCTTTGTATATTTGCATTGCAATAATCTCAGTGAGATTTGGATTGACTATAAACTTATAATAACAGTCTCAAATTTACTATAAGATGTTCGCGTTTTTAGACTTGTTAATTAAAATTTAGAAGATTACAAATCGAAAAATATATTTTTTGCCCGATGTAATCTGTTAATATTAATTAATGTAAAAAAGCCTTTACATTTGCTTTTTGTCAACTTACTCAAATTTTATTCATAATATTAGGTTTAAATTGATATAGATCTAAAAGGAAGCCACTTTTTATCTTGGGGGTTTTTTTGCAAGTTATAATGTTAGTCTTGAACTTCTGTTAAATAAAAATTTTTTAAAAAAATAAGTATGCGGGCATCGAAACATTGTTCCATAACGTGATATGCAAAGAAGCGTATAAAAGAGAATTTCCCTTTGTCTTCAGCCGCTGACTAAGGTTCTCGATCTATTGCTAACTGGGCTGGACTATTGTTGATCCGGCGCTTCAATACAAAACGTATATACAGGGCTGACTTGGGCGGCGCAGAGACTTTTTATCATAATCATTAACCGAATCACACGAAAAGCATCTAGATATGGACCCTCTCAAATTTATGCGCAAAGAAAATCCTGAACTATACGAAAAATACCTCAAGTCACAGCAAGGTAAGCGAGCAATTAATTGGGAGGATAGAGGAACAACGGGGAGAAGAGTTTGAATACTGTTACTGGTTTTGTGCTATATTGCAAGAGAGGCAGTTGGGCGTTATTAGTTGGGGTAGAGCAGAGTCGTAGCAGAACTAGGTTTATACGTAAACTCGTTTGAAAGGCAAATAAGCAAGATATAATACGTTTAGGTTAAGTAGAGTAGGGTTAGAATAGGCGCAGCAACGTGCAACGTTCTTCTATTTCTATTTATTTGAGAACCTTGAACTTGAAATTAAATTGCACGTTCTGGTCTCGCGAGGCAAAATGCTAATCTTTTTGCTTTGCTTTTTTTTACACTCCCGTTCGCTCACCATATTGTGTTTTCTGTTTCTAAACTATTACTGTGGCTTCAGCAGGTAACAATTTCATAACATCTAAGACATAGAATAGCATGATGAATGTTATGTTATTAAATAATTTTGCTACCTTTCATTCGTTCCTTACTAACTTATGATCCCTCTTTCAACGTTTTCTAATATGTGTCATTTACTCTTCTTTTATTTATTTATGTTTCTCCTTCATTCCTTTTCATCTATTATGCTTTTTCGCAGCTGACAGTAAGTGTCTTTGTACTCTATGTTGTTTGGTGCTTGTGGCTATTTACTTGTTACATTGCAGCCATTTAGCATTAGTATGCTAGATTAAGATGTTTATTTAGAGCAGAGTGTAGTAATTTGCTTGATATGTGACAATACTGACTAACTTTTTTTTCTATCACTGCCTTGATTCCACTGTTCTTGTAGTCAGTTCTTCCTATGGTAGGTTTACCAATGTCTCTTTCATAAATATAAGGTGTACTTCTGATAGTTTCACTAAATTCGTTTGATAATTTCTTTCTCACCCTTTTCCACAGAGAAAATAGTCAGAGCTTCTGAAAAGACACATAAACGAGATGTAGCTGTCATAACCATGTATCCTTACATCAGAAGACAACATATACAGAACCATTCAGGAAGCCTACATCCTATTGTAATTGCAAGGAATGCTCACACCGACAAAAGCAACTTGTTTCTGTTTCGGTTAGAATGATAGCAATTAGACAGGTACCAAGCGTTATATTGTTTAACGTGGTAACCTCTAGGAAGGAAAAAACCACCTTTGTTCTCGGAGGATAGCACCTGACTTTCGTCCCATTATTAAGTCGGGGTGTACACTGGCCCACAGATACCTATAAATGGTGCTAGTGTCAGCATTAGATGCGAATAGGAGATAAAAATAGATCGTACCATTAATTTCTTGATCTTTGCCTTTTTCATCGATGTATGCATAATCCCATATGAGCGCGAACGTCATCAACAACACGATCTGATCCAGTGCCTACAGATAAAGTATAGAGTTGAAAAAGTTTCGTATAGATATTTTATTTATTGTGTTTTCATCTGTTTTCATTATCTTGTAGATTTGGGGCTATTGTCGAGCTTCTTTCTCTGTGAATTGCTTATAAATAGTCGGCATAACTTTGTTGAAATACTGACTACAAAATCAAATCAAAGCATTACGTTTCGACACCATTGCTCTCGTCTACCACAAGTCAACGACAAGCAACTGGAACTTGCTAGTTGTAAGTTGCCAGGGCAATCTCCAACATTAAGACCCCAAGGTTCGTTATTCGTAGCCTCGCGCAATTTAGCCTCCATTTCGATATAATTCATTACTGCATTAATATGTGAAGTGAATGAAATCACATACTCACCTGCCGGTAAAATCGTCGGCCCAACTTACACTTTATCGAAGACATCTTTCACATCCCACACTGTGATGTTAGTCGGTTGGTCCACTTTGGAAGACTTTGGAGGAGATAGGAGAGCGTTGTTAGGGACCCAGACTTTATCTGGGCTTAGAAATGTGCCCGGTCACGTTATTTATTCGTGGCTTTGTACTTGGAATTTACCCCATACTGCAAACATTTGTTAAAGGATTTAATATTCTAACCACCGTTTGTATTATGCGCCTTTGCGCATTATTCCCCACTTGTCCATTGGCAATAACTTTCAAATTAACCCGAAACTATAAGTCAATATAACAGCTAATTGCTTCATTACTTTAGATATTCACAATATTGGCGATGGTAGTTTTTGACACGATAATATTGGGGAACGCAAAGCCTATTTATTTGTGGCTGCTCTATTACCTAGAAACTTGAAAATCAAGTTTTTTTTTTTTTTTTTTTGAATACAATAGTAATATTATGAACCTAATTCTTTATTTAGTTATTCAAAATATGTAATATGTTATCATTAAGTATACACGCAATCTGTAAAATGAAGATCGAGGTCACAAAGTAGACATGGCTTGCTGCGGATCTGATTATGGCGCCTAAGACATGCAAAGCTAGATAGACATAGTAATAGTGGTGACTAATAAAGAGAAAGTAGTCATTGACTTGCATATTGCTAAACGAGGTTCAAAATCAGAATCATCACAAAGAACTAGTTTGAGAGGCGTAGACATATATACAGTATGTATATATAACAACTAATAGAACAATGATGCCACTTTCAAATGGGCTTTATTACATGTTAATGGTTTCCCGTTTCACTCAAAGCAAGTCACAAATAAATACACTTCATGATTTAATAATATTTGTCGTAGAATCCTCATGGAAGAATAATAAAAAGCTCTTGAATGTTTAGTTGGAGCTTTTCTCTGCTTCCTCCGCCTTTTTCTCTGCCTCGATGTCTAGTTGACGAAGACCACAGTCGTTACCGATAGTAACTCATACAAACATGAACTGCATAGTTTCCGGCTGCGTTAACTTACCTGCTTGCGTTGGCATGTACTGCTTCTCTTGAGTTTCAACGTGCTTGAGATGCTCCTTGACTTTCTCGGCGTTGGTCTTAATGTCTTCGGTTACAGGGTTGTTCTTTTGAGGATCCATACTGCGATAATAATATGTTCTACAAGACAATAAAAGTTAACCGTCACTGCCGTTTATTTATATAGTATAATATTAAGAACTTTAGTTAACATACCTGAAGATTATAAAGTTTCGGCTTCTTTATCGAAAGAATTTAAGGACAGAAAGTCTGTTTGCAGAAGGTATAAAGTCCTGCGTATGTAGGAGTGTTGCCACTAACAGTATTAGTATGCGTCTCACAACTGCAAGTCGCACGAACCCCGAGTATCATCACCTGTTTGAGAATGGGGATGGCTACACTGCATGAAAGTCCTAGAAATTACCACGATTACCCAAGCTTAGGTTGATTATTCAATATCCTTCAGGGTGAATAAAACTCTTGTCTCTCATATTAATATTTCGCCTTTTTACTAACCGGAAATGTACATCAAGCTCTTCTTCCAGGACTCCGATCCAATTTGACATGTTCGATTGCGAACGAACATTTTATTAAAGAATTTTGGGGGAGCTTTCAAAACAAACAAAGTGAACAGGCGCCACACAAGAATTTCAGGGGGTTAAAAGGGTCAGGTGATTTATATACGAGCGTTTAGTAAATACGATATTAATATGAAAAGTCGAGGCACTTGATCTTTTATATTTACGCGAGATAAATTAAAGCATGAAACATTTAAAATACATCTTTACTGAAGCGAGCGTGACTTAAATTCCCGTAACAATAATTAATCGAAATTAGTGAAAAGTATCTATGATATTTCCAAGAGAATAATAAGGAAAGATTAATACCATTTTGCTCTATTTAACGTATCCACAATCTCGCTACCGATGTTTCTAGACTGCACAAGTTTAATTAATCCGACTGCCTACAGGGAAAAATTCTTTTACTTGTAGCCTGTTGTGTTGTATAATCTCCGTTTTGACAATATGCACGCATCGCATATTCTATATTTATTAACTCCGATCTTATTAATGAGTTACATGTGAGAAATTAAATGTTATAACACGTGCCAATCCATATAGAGTTATTTCGCGTCCTCATCATGCATCAGGTGATTGCTGCGGAGAGATTAGAAAAGTAATACCTCGAATTCTCGATAAGTCGGTATGGTATCTGGGATACTCCCGCTCGTCACAATAATTAATAGGATTGTTTTTCATTACTTCGGGCGCATTCTCGTCAAGAAAGGCTTTAGCATTAGCAAGGCCACTTTCTGGGAAGCGTTGCTGAAGAATTCTACACAATAAGATCATTAAATCGTATGACTAGAATCGTATGATTAGAAAGGTCGTACAATCCTAATATTGAATCATAGTAATAGTCAATCATGCAATGTGTAATTGATAATAACGTAATCGTTGCGGTGTTTGAAGCAGCAGCTGAGGAAGACAATGTCAACAGCAACAGCAACTACAACACTACAATGATCTATATATTCGCTATCAGTGTCAGATGAAATGGCATTAGAAAATATACCGAATTATTTGCAACAGCAGAGCGTTTGAGAATAGATAGTTCCATGTTATTAGGAATGAAAGACTTGCAACATCAATATAACGATTATAATAATAAATTTTATAATGAATGGTTATTATATTAAGACTTGTATGTAGAGTTAAGCCTTGACAAAAAAGGCAGAAGATTAAACAATATTGATATCACTGGCTTGACATATCAAACAGATATCAACCAAATAAGAAATTGTCCTCCGGATAGATTAACATCGAATTGTTCGAACATTAAATTAATAAATGGAAACACATATCAATTAGATTCGGGATAGACTAATTCTTTAGAATTAAATAGTCAAGCGCGAATTTATTATCGGGTGATTATTCCACTAATATGGTATTATAAAACAGACATTAACAATGATTTTCGGGTATCTGTAACACAGCTTTCAGATACTGCGCATTTTTCCTTGCGAAATTCTTGTATCGATATTCACCGTATTCAACACTATTGCTACCCCGGAAAACTATTTTTCACTATATTAATATATAACAATAATACTCGTGCACTTATACTTGGGGAATGAAAAAAGGGGATCAACGTGAGTTATATCACAGAGCAGCTGAACAAGGAGATGCCAGTGCTCAATATAATCTTGCTAATGGATATTATAATGGAACTGGAATAGAAAAAGATGAACAAAAAGCAGTTGAATGGTATAAAAAAGCAGCTGAACAAGGAGATGCCAATGCTCAATTTAATCTTGGTGTATGTTATGCTAATGGAACTGGAATAGAAAAAGATGCTAAAATGGCAGTTGAATGGTATAAAAAAGCAGCTGAACAAGGGTTTGCCAATGCACAATATAATCTTGGTCAAGTTTATAGGAATGAAACTGGAGTAGAAAAAGATGAACAAAAAGCAGTTGAATTGTTTAAAAAAGCAGCTGAACAAGGGCTTGCCAATGCACAATCTGATCTTGGTTATTACTATCAAAATGGAACTGTCATAGAAAAAGATGAACAAAAAGCAGTTGAATTGTTTAAAAAAGCAGCTGAACAAGGATATGCCAATGCACAATATGATCTTGGTATATGTTATGCTAATGGAACTGGAGTAGAAAAAAATGCTAAAAAGGCAGTTGAATGGTATAAAAAAGCAGTTGAACAAGGGCTTGCCAATGCACAATATAATCTTGGTCAATTTTATAGGGATGGAACTGGAGTAGAAAAAGATGAACAAAAAGCAGTTGAATTGTTTAAAAAAGCAGCTGAACAAGGGTTTGCCAATGCGCAATCTGATCTTGGTATATGTTATGCTAATGGAACTGGAGTAGAAAAAGATGAACAAAAAGCAGTTGAGTGGTTTCAAAAAGCAGTTGAACAAGGATATGCTAAAGCACAATATAATCTTGGTGTATGTTATGCTAAATTTGAATGGAATAAAAAAGCAGCTGAACAAGGAGATACCAGGGCTCAATTTAATCTTGCTGAACAAGGACATGCTAATGCACAGAGATGCCTTGAAAGCAGGGAAAGCATATTGCAAATCATTACACATTGGTTTACAAAATAATCTAGAAAACTTAAGTATTTTTGTATTATAAAAAACTGATGTTAATTTTTGGTGTCATTACTGCATTGTTCATCTTGTAGTTTTACTGTACTGAAGCTTTATTATTATTGTTCTTAATTTACAAAAGCATGTACTAGTACACACACTAATACACAAACGAAAATTTTCGGAAACACTAATTGGCCAATCAGAATGCATAGATTATCGTATAATAAAAAATAGTATCTATCATGTTCTGCAAATACTTCAATCATGACTGCACAAATTGAACCAGGAAATATAGTACATATATACAGCTTTACGTTATTTTTGTTTATTATGTGAGACAGACAATAAGTTGTAATTGTAAAAGAGAGAAAGTTATGAATAACATCCTTCGCGCTCCCATCAAGGAATATTAGTTGTTCGGGTAAATATGATTTTAGTGATAAAAGAATTACGAAGCAATTCATTCCTTTCCATAACAGCTTTATGTAACTATAAGAAAGTTTTATTAGTGAGATTTTCTATTTCTTACTTAGTTGTAACATACAAACCTTTTCCGAACGATGCCATATCGTTACGATCGAGAATCTTTCTACGTTCACGCATCCCTTGAAGGGATTCCCCAACATTTAAACTGTGGCCCGACTAACCTACAATTAACAGCAAATCCGTTTACGAGAAAAGCCATCAGAATGAAGATAAACTATTCTTCAACGTAAATCTTCACTAATACCCTTGACCATGTTGTGCCCAATAAAATTGTCAATGCAGCTAAATGACAACAACTTTCGTTAGCGTTCGTCCAGTAACGCCCAACAAATGTCATCGGCAGTAATCGAAAACCTCTTCTCTGTAAAAGCTAGCACTAGAACTGCTCATACTTACCAAAAGAGTAACCGAAAAAGCTGTAAAGTGTTGAGTGCCGGCGAATAATCGCAGAAGTTTATAGAGACTTAGTTGAATTTTCGCAGTCAAGTGACTGTGTGTGTACAAAATGTCGGGGGTTTCTATAATTTTGAAAAGTGCGATAATAATCACGAATAGTCAAGTGTAGTGGCACAAATGAATGAATCTACGCCAAATTCGCACAGCAATTTATTCAAGATCTATTTTCTTTTAATTAAAAATAGAAAAACAACATTTGCGCGACAAATATTTAGCCCATTTCAGATTAATAATTCACAAATACACACTATCTGTGAAAACCATACTAGTCTTACATGAATCTAGTATTTTTTGAGATTCTTAAATATTGTGCGTACCACAACAATCAGCTATTCATACTACCTGTAAAAGGATTTGTTTACTGCCAACCACAATAACGACAGTCAAGATTACGATTGAAATTTTTTGTATGTATTAATATTAATAATTTACAAATCTGTTGTCGAAAAAAAATTGAAGGCTGAATCTTTTATATGCTTTTATTTCTTATTTCCTACTTCATACCCTTTACGTCTATAATTTCCCTTATCTTGTACATCGCCGGCCGAAGAGTCTATAGAAACTATTAGCACGTACACTATACAGAAAGGTATGGCACTGAGTCATGTGTACTATACCGAACCACAAAGATACAATTTACGTACTTTATTCCGGATAACGAAGGCGAAATGGACAATAGCAATAGTGGTGAACATAACATAGGGAAGCGCTGCAAGTGGGACAAATATACCTACGGAAAATTCACCTACCTCTTTAACAACAATTCCATTAATCTAATAATATTGTCTCGCAGATCAACCCAAGCGAATGCCCATGGTCGCTAGATATATCGGAAAAGTGACAAGCCCGTCAGTGTCTACCAATGCCGAATTAAAACTAACCGTAACAGTGTTTGAATACATAAGAAAAAACGAAAGACCCATTAATGAAATAACGATAACACACCCTACCACAAGTACGACGTAGGTTCAGTCGGTCGATCAATGTAGCTCAAAAAACACGCAATAATACAATTCACAGGGGTACTCATTATATGTGAAGTAGTTCTCTACTGCGACGTTTTAGA